TCAAACTGGGATATAACATGCACATGCACCACTACAGGCTCTCCTTCCACATCAAACTGGGATATAACACATGCACCACTCTCAACCTCTCCTTCCACATCAAACTGGGATATAACACATGCACCACTACAGGCTCTCCTTCCACATCAAACTGGGATATAACACATGCACCACTACAGGCTCTCCTTCCACATCAAACTGGGATATAACACATGCACCACTACAGGCTCTCCTTCCACATCAAACTGGGATATAACACATGCACCACTGCACTCTCTTCCACATCAAACTCATGCACCACTCCTCTCCTTCATCAAACTGGGATATAACACATGCACCACTACAGGCTCTCCTTCCACATCAAACTGGGATATAACACATGCACCACTACAGGCTCTCCTTCCACATCAAACTGGGATATAACACATGCACCACTACAGGCTCTCCTTCCATATCAAACTGGGATATAACACATGCACCACTACAGGCTCTCCTTCCATCAAACTGGGATATAACACATGCACCACTACAGGCTCTCCTTCCACATCAAACTGGGATATAACACATGCACCACTACAGGCTCTCCTTCCACATCAAACTGGGATATAACACATGCACCACTACAGGCTCTCCTTCCACATCAAACTGGGATATAACACATGCACCACTACAGGCTCTCCTTCCACATCAAACTGGGATATAACACATGCACCACTACAGGCTCTCCTTCCACATCAAACTGGGATATAACACATGCACCACTACAGGCTCTCCTTCCACATCAAACTGGGATATAACACATGCACCACTACAGGCTCTCCTTCCACATCAAACTGGGATATAACACATGCACCACTACAGGCTCTCCTTCCACATCAAACTGGGATATAACACATGCACCACTACAGGCTCTCCTTCCACATCAAACTGGGATATAACACATGCACCACTACAGGCTCTCCTTCCACATCAAACTGGGATATAACACATGCACCACTACAGGCTCTCCTTCCACATCAAACTGGGATATAACACATGCACCACTACAGGCTCTCCTTCCACATCAAACTGGGATATAACACATGCACCACTACAGGCTCTCCTTCCACATCAAACTGGGATATAACACATGCACCACTACAGGCTCTCCTTCCACATCAAACTGGGATATAACACATGCACCACTACAGGCTCTCCTTCCTTCCACATCAAACTGGGATATAACACATGCACCACTACAGGCTCTCCTTCCACATCAAACTGGGATATAACACATGCACCACTACAGGCTCTCCTTCCACATCAAACTGGGATATAACACATGCACCACTACAGGCTCTCCTTCCACATCAAACTGGGATATAACACATGCACCACTACAGGCTCTCCTTCCACATCAAACTGGGATATAACACATGCACCACTACAGGCTCTCCTTCCACATCAAACTGGGATATAACACATGCACCACTACAGGCTCTCCTTCAACATCACAACTGGGATATAACACATGCACCACTACAGGCTCTCCTTCCACATCAAACTGGGATATAACACATGCACCACTACAGGCTCTCCTTCCACATCAAACTGGGATATAACACATGCACCACTACAGGCTCTCCTTCCACATCAAACTGGGATATAACACATGCACCACTACAGGCTCTCCTTCCACATCAAACTGGGATATAACACATGCACCACTACAGGCTCTCCTTCCACATCAAACTGGGATATAACACATGCACCACTACAGGCTCTCCTTCCACATCAAACTGGGATATAACAACCACTACAGGCTCTCCTTCCATCAAACTGGGATATAACACATGCACCACTACAGGCTCTCCTTCCACATCAAACTGGGATATAACACATGCACCACTACAGGCTCCTCTTCTTCCACATCAAACTGGGATATAACACATGCACCACTACAGGCTCTCCTTCCACATCAAACTGGGATATAACACATGCACCACTACAGGCTCTCCTTCCACATCAAACTGGGATATAACACATGCACCACTACAGGCTCTCCTTCCACATCAAACTGGGATATAACACATGCACCACTACAGGCTCTCCTTCCACATCAAACTGGGATATAACACATGCACCACTACAGGCTCTCCTTCCATCAAACTGGGATATAACACATGCACCACTACAGGCTCTCACATCAAACTGGGATATAACACATGCACCACTACAGGCTCTCCTTCCACATCAAACTGGGATATAACACATGCACCACTACAGGCTCTCCTTCCACATCAAACTGGGATATAACACATGCACCACTACAGGCTCTCCTTCCACATCAAACTGGGATATAACACATGCACCACTACAGGCTCTCCTTCCACATCAAACTGGGATATAACACATGCACCACTTCCACATCACAGGCTCTCACTTCCACTACAAACTGGGATATAACACATGCACCACTACACCACTTTCGCTACAGCTCTCCTTCCACATCAAACTGGGATATAACACATGCACCACTACAGGCTCTCCTTCCACATCAAACTGGGATATAACACATGCACCACTACAGGCTCTCCTTCCACATCAAACTGGGATATAACACATGCACCACTACAGGCTCTCCTTCCACATCAAACTGGGATATAACACATGCACCACTTCAGGCTCTCCTTCCACATCAAACTGGGATATAACACATGCACCACTACAGGCTCTCCTTCAACATCAAACTGGGATATAACACATGCACCACTACAGGCTCTCCTTCCACATCAAACTGGGATATAACACATGCACCACTACAGGCTCTCCTTCCACATCAAACTGTGATGCTTCTTAAAGAGGCTGTCGCTCAAATTGGTAAACACCCGAGAATCTTACATCCCACGTAATTATGGCAAGTTAACAAGAAGTGTGGGTGGATGCGTGTGTGTGTGGTTGTGTGTGTGTTTGAAGGTGTGTAAACATTTGCTCATTGGTTCGACTCCCTTCAAAGATACAGTATGTAAAATCTCATTGTTTAGTATGTGCTATGAATGATATTTGATAATAATGCGTATGTTTGATAAGGGCAACATTTATTGTTTCTGTGTTTTTCATCGCCCGACTGACTGTAAATTGGCCGCCAGCCCGATAATTACGAAAACCTTTTTTTTATTTCCGCTGACTCGAACTCAAACCCTTCCGACTGTTCATTCAGTTGCTTCGTTCCCGTGTCAGTGCGGGGATTAAGGCTGTAGGTAGAGGATAGGTGCAACGTAAGAAGAAAGCTAAGTTGGTCTTAACATTCTACTTTCTTACATTTTATTATCATGTATTAAACAACTTTTGAATGACCGAGGTGTGGGTTGGTCCTCTCATCTGGCGGTCAGACTCTGAAACTTTGTTGGTTGCGAGGATCGTTGTTCATGATATCGATCACTGGTTTGTAAAATCGCTGTCATACAGCTGGGATATATTTCGGTGTGGGATAAACAAACAAACATGTCCGCTCGAGCTCTGAATAACAAGACCAAGAAGCGCCCATAAAATATTCAAGATCTTAGCGGCCGACTCTGCCTGTTTTCTTTTGCGTTACAAGCTCCTGTGTTTCTGGGTTGGGTTGCACGGTATCACATCAAACCTTGCGTATTTTCTGCCGCGCCGGTTGATAATATCCCAGTCACGTGAGCAGCTCGTTATTCACCGTTGTGCAATAGGTAAGCCACGCTTGTGTCTGAGGAAGCGACACCAGTCTGGGTAAGCCGCACTTGTGTATGGGTAAGCGATACCAGTCTGGGTAAGCCACGCTTGTGTATGGGTATGGGATACCAGTCTGGGTAAACCACGCTTGTGTATAGGTAAGCGATACCAGTCTGGGTAAGCCGCACTTGTGTATGGGTAAGAGATACCAGTCTGGGTAAGCCACGCTTGTGTACAGGTATACCAGTCTGATACCAGTCTGGGTAAACCACGCTTGTGTACAGGTAAGCGACACCAGTCTGGGTACACCAGTCTGGTGTGAGCCACGCTGTACAGGTAAGCGACACCAGTCTGGATAAGCCACGCTTGTGTATGGGTAAGCGATACCAGTCTGGGTAAGCCACGCTTGTGTATAGGTAAGGGGGATACCAGTCTGGGTAAGCCACGCTTGTGTATAGGTAAGCGATACCAGTCTGTCACGCTTGTGTTTAGGTAAGCGATACCAGTCGCTTGTGTATAGGTAAGCGATACTAGTCTGGGCCACGATAAGTCTGGGTAAGCGCTTGTGTACAGGTAAGGGATACCAGTCTGGGTAAGCCACGCTTGTGTATAGGTAAGCGACACCAGTCTGGGTAAGCCACGCTTGTGTATAGGTAAGGAATACCAGTCTGGGTAAGCCACGTTTGTGTATGGGTAGGCGACACCAGTCTGGAGAAGCATCTCCTGCGTACGGGTAAGCCACAGAGTCTGGGTAGGGTAAGCCACACATGTGTACCGGTAAGTACATGTACGCCCCTCTATGTACGCCCCTAAATTCCCGATGTCAAGGTGTGAGTCTCTTTGTTTCATTTACATACAAAATAGAAACCTCAAAGGAGACAAGAATATCCCAGAGCCGAATCAGAATTGGCGTGCCCAATCACTCGATTTGGATTTATAACTTTATACTTTCGGGCCTGGACCTCTGTTCCCACAAATTGTGGGTCCTACAAGCTGGCTATGGAGATCAGTACACATAAGTACATTTACTCATATACGGATGTATATCTTGAATTATTGTCTTCCTAACAAAAATCAAATCCTCGTAGCAAGGAAGTCCTTGTTTGGCTTGGACCAGTTGGCCGAGAAAGTGGATTCACTTCACTGATGTCACTATGTGAACTAAATCCTCATTGATAAATCCGATGGAAATGGCAGAACGTCAGATACTTCCGGTAAATACGTCTAGGCCTCGACTAGACACATGCCCTAGACCATGGAGTGAGCTCCTTTTGTCGCTGTAACTATGAAAGTAAAACAACAGAAGGAACACACAAAGATCATTTTCATATTAAAAAAATATATTTATTGTAAATGTAGAAGACATTACGTAGACAATGATTTTGACCTTTGTTAGAGGTGCCCTTACATCACAGACAGCAGTTTGTACACACGTCATATGACGTTCCTAAAGCAACGTCGACATTTGCCTAGCAACCCGTTTCTCTTACCAACTATACACGAGACCGTGAAACCAAGGAATCATCACAGAAAATATTGGAATGTTCATTTATACGATCAGTCAGAAGGCACTTGTGACCGAATGACGACACCCGAGTCTTTACCCTTATACAAGTATTTGGTATATCTCTGTACCGTTACCAATATCAATAAGCCCGGTCATTGCGAATAATCTATCGTTTCAGACAGTAGCACGGTCATGCGGTGAATGTCATACCTGAAACCAGTAACAAGTAAGGATGATGTTGAGTTAATCTTTTACCAAATATAGCCGTTGTGTAAAAATATAGTTCTATCAAAAATGCCCATACACATGAATATGAAAAATAGATGTATGTATTTACAATTCCCATAACATTACTACACATAACATGAATATCACTTCTTCGCCAGTCACCGATATGCAGTGTATGGAGAATCATGCCTCCAGCTCGAACATTCATACCTCGACTACCCGTGCCTAATAACGTCAGCCAATAAACGGTAAATGTCAAGGTCAGTAAATGACCGGTATGTATACACTACGTCCTTCCATCACCCAGGACGACATACGGCGGCTTGCAGTGACGTGGGTCCGTCCACAGTCAGGCTATGCCGTGTGTTACTGCCGGAAGTCCGTGCATAGCCATACTCCGTGCACAGACGTTGTGTGAACCCTACCGTTGCATGACATTGAAACAATGTTTAGAGTAGAGACCTCAAGACTGTTTCACTTGTCGCAAGAGAAATATTGCCGATGTTCATTTGTGTGAGACATCTCCGGTTTTACTCTTACTAAGCTTTGACTTGACTGGAGGTTGAAACGGCTGTTGTTGCATGTGTCCCCGGAGGGTGTCATGGCGTATACAATAGCAGTCCTGTATTGTCCACGGGGAAAGTTCAGAGTGGAGGAACTCTGGAATGTCTACATGATTACACAGTGGCCTTCTGGTAGTCTGGATGCTGTTCCCAGTAAAGGTTCCAGGTGAACTGTTCGTTGTAATGTCCTTTCTATAGGGGTTTCCTGATTAAAAGGGTGTCAGTGATCACAACTACTGTGGACTGAGTGAAGACAGCACTAAGGTGAGTAAGTTTCGGGAACATCAAGACACATGGCGGAAGAAGGCACCAAGATACTAACGTCCCTTGAATACCGTGTTAGCAAACACATGTACACCATGATAGAAGGCCGGAAGTTCCGTCTATGTTACGGATCGCGTACATGGTAATGTATTACATGTCCATCAGTTATCTTGTATCAACAATAAAGAATGAAACCACACCAATACCACGCCTCTGCCAGGACGCAGAGTCATCTCCCTTTCCAGAGATAGGAATCACAGACTGTCCCCATCTGGCAAACCTGACGGTAAAATCAGTTCCAAATCATGGAAAACTATTTACAAAAGGAACGACCTGAGCTAACCGATAACAGCCTCGAGACGGGGCAGCCGTGTCACTCATTCCCTGGTCAGCGCTAGTACATGGTACACGACTTCTTCGCAACCATATTGGTGTTTGATGGACAGTTAAACACGTCTCTGAACTCTGGGACTTGAGACACTGCCATGTTAACCCTGGAAATGAAAAACGTATGGTGAACAAATGTCCGTTTGTGTAATGCCAGTTTCTTTCTGCAAGATTAAAGGCGGTAATACTTACACAGGCCTGTAGGAGCCATCGTGTGTGTGTGTGTGTGTGTGTGTGTGCGTGCGTGCGTGTGCGCGCGCGCGCATGTGTGTGTGTCTTGCATTACATTGTACGATAGTACTTACGTCACGTGGACCGTTATTAAATCGTTTAAGACATCCTTGTTACACTACATGTTTGACTTTCATCCTCATATGGAATATCCGGAAACGTTGTTGATTTTCATTGCACGTTAGAACTTATGGTAATCATTGGTACACTTACTTCAGGTTCTCCTGCAAAATGCCCCGAGCTGCCTGGGAAAACGCTTCATTCGGATTACGGTTGAAGCAGTTGGCCTGAAGCAGAAAAGTATCCAAGTTGTACTTATTTCACCTGACATATACTCTGACCTGACATATACTCTGACCTGACATATACTCTGACCTGGAGGTTGAATCATCAACATCTTAGTTAATTCACAGAAACTGAACTGTCTCGGTCTTCACACATCACATGGATACAAGCCATGGAGCCTTTGACTGACACTTACAAGCTGGAACAACATGGGGACATAGAACTTTCAAGTTTCATAGATAAACGTAGTAATTCAGGGCTTCCTAGTGGAGGCAGGTGGTAGTGATGGTCTCTGGGTACAATAACCCTCGTCAGGTTGCTGACCAACAGCATTTAGCAACATACGTCTTCATTTGATTTTATCATACTGTTCTCCTGTGTGAGTGGATATTGTTTAGTGATTTCCCTACAGAAACAGGCGGTGGCACAAGATGTGTCTGGGAAATAAAGGCCGTCTCTGGATATCAGCATGCACCTACCTGAGCGTATGCTACAAAGAACATCTGGTCGTTATTCCTGGAGACACCAGGTGCTTTCCTCTCTACCTTGTTAGCTTTCTCCCATGCCTTGAAAGCCTGGAAGACAACCATCGATGGTCACTGGTCAGTGTGGTACATAAACGCGGTGAGGTGAATATTACCATCATTCACTGGTCAGTGCGGTACATATACACGGCGAGGTGAATATTACCATCATTCACTGGTCAGTGTGGTACATATACGCGGTGAGGTGAATATTACCATCATTCACTGGTCAGTGCGGTACATATACACGGCGAGGTGAATATTACCATCATTCACTGGTCAGTGTGGTACATATACGCGGCGAGGTGAATATTACCATCATTATTACCACATTCACAGGTCAGTGTGGTACATAAACGCGGCGAGGTGAATATTACCATCATTTACTTTATTGCTTTAATCTTTTGAATTATACAGACTCTAAATTTAAACTGACGCTCTACATTTTGTACTGCTCTTGTAATACATTTCTTTGAGAGGTATTTTAGAAGTTGGGATGTACAATATAGAACACACTGTATGGATAACAACTTCTTGTATTCGTAAGTGCTTGACAACGGTACAAGAATCTGTATCGAAACGTCGCACTCACGAAGAAAAGAAGTTGTTATCTAGACAGTTTTTTCTATACTGTATTATACATTAGTAGTGATTTGCGTAAATTTGTAAACTTTGTTAATGTTAGAATACAACTGTTAATCACATCTCATTTCTTAATCGTTTGTCGGTTTCACACCGCCTTCTTCTACGGACTGATTCGGACTCGGGTATCAGCTCGAACAGGGTAACGCCAGATTTAGAAGAGGTTACCTTGTACGCTAGTCTAACACCGCTAGTCTCAGCAAGGGCCTCGGGAGCGTATCCTGGGGCGTCCACGGGCACCTGCAGCAGATAAAAGCACAGTGTAGTTTGCACAGAAACATAACTCATTAAACGTCATCGTAAAATGTTTCCATGATGTTTTAAGAAAGCAGCGTGGAAAAAAACAAACTCAGATTCAGAAAATGCAACTAAATGTGGGAGTGACTCAAAAACAAGCATATGTATGCTAACTGATGTTGTGTGTTCTCTAAAGAAATAAAGTTAATGTTCGGTGTGTGACACACGAACCTGGCAAAGCAATCCCTATGACATACTTTGATCAGAGCACTTCATCCCCCACAATATAACCATGTATTGCGGGTTTGGTTATTTGGTTTCATCAGTATATGTACACAGTAATATCCAGATAGATTTTCTTATATCTGGTGTTAACAGTGGTCCCAGATAACCTGTAGAGTGGTCTCAGTTCATATCACATGTTGGTAACCCACACCTCACACCACACCCCACATACAACACCCCACACACCACACACCAATACAGTCTCGACACACATTTTCACCTGGAGCGTGTGTGAGTGTGTTGAGTATTGTGTGTAAGACAAGGTTTATTCATGAACCTGCATGTGCATAAATCATGTTTCCCTGTCACAGGTGAAGTCATCACGCTACAGCTTGGTGCCGCCAGAATATATTTGAATATGATATGACAGGAATGTCTCCTTCGTAGATTGAAGACATCAAGAGTGTCCTTGTTCACCACGAGGGGCGACTCCATATTCCAAGTTTAAATACCTTAAATAACAACGTACTTCACGGCGATGAGGTACAGTGACAGAGGCACCAGCATGTTTCTGAACATCTTTAGTTAACAAAACGCAAATCCCGACCCCTACAGGTTCAAATAGATGAAGACATATAGATGAAGACATGTAGATGAAGACATGTAAAGGTAATGTGCAGGTGATGCTACATGTTCTGTGCAAGGTTCTGTACGAGGTGATGTTACATGTTCTGTACGAGGTGATGCTACATGTTCTGTACGAGGTGATGTTACATGTTCTGTACGAGGTGATGTTACATGTTCTACACGAGGTGATGCTACATGTTCTGTACAAGGTGATGGTGATGCTACATGTTCTGTACGTGACGTTCTGTAGGTGATGCTACATGTTCTGTACGAGGTGATGCTACATGTTCTGTACGAGGTGATGTTACATGTTCTGTACGAGGTGATGTTACATGTTCTGTACGAGGTGATGCTTACATGTTCTGTACGAGGTGATGTTTCTGTACGAGGTGATGCTACATGTTCTGTACGAGGTGATGTTACATGTTCTGTACGAGGTGATGCTACATGTTCTGTACGAGGTGATGCTGTTCTGTGTTCTGCTACATGTTCTGTAAGTGATGTTACATGTTCTGTACGAGGTGATGTTACATGTTCTGTACGAGGTGATGTTACATGTTCTGTACGAGGTGATGTTACATGTTCCGTACGAGGTGATGCTACATGTTGTTACATGTTCTGTACGAGGTGATGCTACATGTTCTGTACGAGGTGATGTTACATGTTCTGTACGAGGTGATGTTACATGTTCTGTACGAGGTGATGTTACATGTTCTGTACGAGGTGATGCTACATGTTCTGTACGAGGTGATGTTACATGTTCTGTACGAGGTGATGCTACATGTTCTGTACGAGGTGATGCTACATGTTATGTAGGAGGTGATGCTTCATGTTCTGTAATGAGAGGTGATGTTACATGTTCTGTACGAGGTGATGCTACATGTTCTGTACGAGGTGATGTTACATGTTCTGTACTGATACATGTTCTGTAGAGGTGATGCTACATTCTGTTCTGTACGAGAGGTGATGTTACATGTTCTGTACAGGTGATGCTACATGTTCTGTACGAGGTGATGCTGTTCTGTACGAGGTGATGTTATGTTCTGTACGAGGTGTGCTCAGGTGATGCTACATGTTCTGTAGGAGGTGATGTTACATGTTCTGTACGAGGTGATGCTACATGTTCTGTACGAGGTGATGCTACATGTTCTGTACGAGGTGATGCTACATGTTCTGTACGAGGTGATGCTACATGTTCTTTACGAGGTGATGTTACATGTTCTGTAGGAGGTGATGCTACATGTTCTGTACGAGGTGATGCTACATGTTCTTTACGAGGTGATGCTACAAGAGGCTGCCCAGGTCCTGGTGTATGTCAGTATGCCATTTAGCAGTCATGACCACATACATTTATTCATTTACACAGGACAGTTTGAGTGACACATAATACTACATGAATTATGATATTTACAGCGCCCTGTCTGAGATGACGGAACGCCGGGGCATGGGGATTACAAGGACATAAACTCAGTCTGCACTCATACAGAAATACTGTATTGCACGGTGATGTTGTGTCAGCTTGTACCGTTGGATTACCAGGGATGTACTGTATTGTGAGGGGGTCGGATTACCGGGTGTGTACTGTATTCTGAGGTGGTCGGATTAAAGGGGGTGTACTGTATTGTGACATACCGAGAGGGGTCTGTTTGCAACTGGCAGGTTGAATGGTCCCATGGTCTTGTTGGCGTAAGCATTAATCACACACTGACGAACCCCGATGTAGGCCTTCTTCGTGCCGTTGGTCCACCAGTCTCCAAAATGGCTGCCGTCTAGTTTGTACTGGGCGCCTAGACATAAAGCATGTTTACACTTGACCGGAACTTGAGCTACCGTTTCAGTCAGTTAAAGTATGACCACAGAAACTGTCACCAGCTGTGTAACTTTTAGAAGGAAATAAATTCATAGAATGGCATGCGTCAAGTTTAGTGTGCCTTTTAAGATTTATTTATATCAAAGTTGAAGTAATGGGAGTTTTTTAAATCAAACATGTTGGTGACTCCTGGGCGACTTATTGCAACGGAATCATTTTCTGGTTGTAGTGCAGCTGTTTCAAATTTAAAGTAGATTAGTGAAGTTCTTTACAACAAACTTGTGTGTGCCGAGTATCGCGTCAACTGGTAAATCATATCACAAAGTCTGCTGACAAGTCTGTTAAACATCGGCACGTTTCTCGCTATCTGAACATAAGGTTACCTGTTTGGTCCACAGCGTGTACGAGATTGTGTCCCAGAATACTTCCCAAAGCACCAAAGTTCATGTAATGCTGCAGTTTATGGTCATAGAGAGGCCACTGCAGAAGACCAGCTGGAACTATCATTTCTTTCCACGGATTGTAGTACTCGGCGATGACGGAGTAGGTGTTGTATGTCCACTCCGACGTGTCGGTCCCATGCTTCAGACGCCGGTTCCAGTCCACCTTGTAGAAGTGGTTCATGCTCATTCGGTTTGCGAAATAGTCGTGTCGGTTTATCGTCAACTGAAACAAACAGGTCCCTATTTGTACGAAAGACCAATGCCGCCACTCTTGTAGCATAATTTTTGTTTTCAGCGAAATTGCTCGTTGTTTGATTAATTTGTCGGGCGTAATGCTTGGGCGTATTTCCTCCTTATTTCAATTATCTTCTCGCACAGTATGGACAAACATAGAAACAAATATCTCATGAAGAGCGTACTGTAGTCTAAGGGAAGAGCATCTCATGAAGAGCGTACTGTAGTCAAAGAGAAGAGCATCTGATGAGAGCGTACTGTAGTCAAAGGGAAGATCATCTTATGAAGAGCGTACTGTAGTCAAAGGGAAGAGCATCTCATGAGAGCGTACTGTAGTCAAAGGGAAGAGCATCGCATGAAGAGCGTACTGTAGTCAAAGGGAAGAGCATCGCATGAAGAGCGTACTATATTCAAGGGCTGTCCACCTTGCTGTAAGAGCATCGCGTGAAAAGCGTCCTTGGTTGTCCTTATATTCACCGGCTTATATACCTGAGGTTGTTTGGGAAAGTATATCTACTCCTCCCTACCTACAATTATAATGACGAGTACAATACTTACTGGCATGTAGATATTATCGAGTTTGTCGTTCGACATCATGTAGTCCGGATATCCCATCTTGTACATAGAGTCCTGGATCTGTAAGTACATACTGAAACAGTACTACCTGACCAGAGTACACTGACGCCGGATCTCAGTCGATAAAGTATCACCGAGTCTCATACACAGGATAAAGATATGTAAACACCAATGATATTCACGTAGCTTCATGTAGTTTGCAAGTGTGTGCGTGCGTGCGTGCGTATGTGTGTGTGTGTGTTAATCTAATTGATAGTGAGTCAGTGTGGTTTTACGCCGCTTTTAGCAATATTCCAGCAATATCACGGCGGGGATACCAGAAATGGGTTTCACACATTGTACCCATGTGGGGAATCGAACCCGGTTTTTCGGCGTGACGAGCCAACGCTTTAACCACTAGACTACCCCACCGACCCAACTTAATTTATATGATGACGGATAAAGAATATGGATTTCCACGTCACCGACACTGACCATGTTGTCAACCACGCCACCGACACTGGCCATGTTATCAACTAGGTCACAGACACTGCCCATGATGACAACTAGGTCACCGACACTGACACGTTGACAACTAGGTCCCTGACACTGACCATGTTGTCAACCACGTCACCTACACTAGTCATGTTGACAACTAGGTCACCGACATTGGCCACGTTGTCAACCACGTTACCGACACTGATGAAACCGACACTGGTCAAACGTCACGTCACCCAGAGCACCCTGACCAGCATGGTAGGCTGGGGACAGATTCCATCCTAGAATCCCACGGGGTCAGTCACACCTTTGGGCAAATTGGGCATTTTACACACATGTAAGCCAGTTGAAGGTTGAGATTCACACATATTCTCACTCAGTATCACACATGCAGACCCAGACATCTGTTGACCCATCTTTACCTTTTTCTTGGCAATGTTGCGCGTCCTTTCGTCCATCCACTTGTTTGACGTCAGAGAGTCAACGAGCGCAGTCTTCAAATAGTCAACGATCTCGGCCGACTGAAAGCAAATGATATACATGTATAACTGAAGATGTGTTATATCATATATGTATTTTGTTATCTGGAAAATAAATGTGTCAGACTTTAGGTTCTTTTAGATAATGTACGTTGATGCAACAGACTGGTGTCGATTTCTGTAGTGAGTGTTCTATCACGTTATATTGTACTAGCGCGATGTGAGGACAACGAGTTCCAGAGTAACTGATTTCATTGACAGGCCGCAGCATAGACGTGGTTGTTAGCTCACCTTATTCCTGTTGGCATCAGAGAAGTGATCCTTCACGTACAGGGCGCTCATAGCCTCGCCCATGTCCCTGTCAACGATGCCGATGCAGTAACGCCACGTCCCCAGAAACTCCGCCTCCGACGTCATGGCGACGTAGAACTCCCTGTTGGCGTGGATGTAGTCCCAGGACAGATCCTGCACGTACTTGTGAGCCAGTCGCCAAACGAGGTAGTTGTTTAGGATCCTACAACGGGATATGGTATATTGTCAGTGACTACTTGTAAGTCGCTTTGAACAGGACCAAGTGTTAGCTAAACGTGAATATTTACCATGGTGGTGAAAAGACATGAATATGTTGTTGACACACCTACAACTCACGGTGAAATGAGATTCGATATTACGATCATACGAGTCCTGCGCGTGTAAGGGAGATAAGGTAGGATTTATATATATCCATCCCTGGAACAGATTGTGTCAATAAAGGTGAGGTGTGGTGAAATTGGGTTTCACGTCGTACTTGAGAATATTTCGCTCATATGACGACGTGCATGCGTGTGTATGTGTATGTGCGGCTGCTTGTACTAGCCCAGACTTAAGCTGGTTTTATAGTGCCAGCTCACTGAGATACCATGCCGCAGTGAAGCATGAATACCCCACTCAGACACTTTATACTGACTCCGAGCCGACCAGTCCATGTTGTACCCATTAATGCCGAGCGCCAGGCAGGGACCAACAAGTACCATATTTTAACGTCTTTTGGTATGACGCGGTCGGGGATCGAACCCGCGACCTTCCGCTCTCCGGGCGGACGCTCTAACCACTACACCACGGGGGCGGTGTCAATAAAGGAGATGTGTATATATGGTATATTTACCTGGATTTGTTCTGTCCGAGGTTTGTTATGAACGCTGCCATTTCCTTGATATAGTCCGTCTCAAGGACCACAACGGATGTGTCGGCGTTGACGCCGGCGTCACTGAACATGTACGTAAAGAACTGCACCCAGTCGATCTGGAACAACGAGAATCATAGTCATACCCCCATTGTCCACGATTACACCTGAGTGAGTGAGTGTTAGAGATCACGGTGATGGGACAGTTCGACATCATTGTGTAGGCTGTGTTAGCTGAGAGTGATGGACAGATTCGATGGCATGACATTGTGTAGGAAGGACCTCGCCCTCGCTCTTGGTATATAATCTAGTACATGGTTATATAATGTAGTACATGGTTATAACACACGTTTGTGAAAACACAGGAGAACTCGGTCGTGGTCAGCTGCCAGTCGGAACAAAGTCGTTCAGAACGGACCTTGCAAATCTGGAAATGGATGATTGTCAAACAATCACATCAACACAAGGGAGTGTAGGATTGCCTGACCCAGACACAAGGGACGCCCAGACTCACACGCCTAGGGATGACACTGAGCCACCACACCTACACACATGAAGTCGTATGCTTTATTAGTGTACTGATATTTCCAATGTTGCTGACGTACACTATATCACTACACTGTCCTACTATCACTACATTATTGTCCCCCAGTCTACAGTCCTACAGTCTAGACTATCACTACATTACAGTCCTACAGTCTAGACTATCACTACATTACTGTCCTACTGTCTAGACTATTACTGTCCTACAGTCTAGACTATCACTAAATTACTGTCCTACAGTCTAGACTATAACTACATTACTGTCTTACAGTCTACACTATTACTACATTACCGTCCTACAGTCTAGACTATCACTAAATTACTGTCCTACAGTCTAGACTATAACTACATTACTGTCCTACTGTCTACACTTACTGTCCTACAGTCTAGACTATCACTACATTACTGTCCTACAGTCCTACAGTCTAGACTATCACTACATTACTGTCTTACAGTCTAGACTATCACTACATTACTGTCCTACAGTCTAGACTATCACTACATTACTGTCCTACAGTCTAGACTATCACTTCATTACTGTCCTACAGTCTACACTATTACTACATTACTGTCCTACAGTCTAGACTATCACTACATTACTGTCCTACAGTCTAGACTATCACTACATTACTGTCCTACAGTCTAGACTATCACTACATTACTGTCCTACAGTCTAGACTAGCACTACATTACTGTCCTACAGTCTAGACTATCACTACATTACTGTCCTACAGTCTAGACTATCACTACATTACTGTCTACATTACTGTCCTACAGTCTAGACTATCACTACATTACTGTCCTACAGTCTAGACTATCACTACATTACTGTCCTACAGTCTAGACTATCACTACATTACTGTCCTACAGTCTAGACTATCACTACATTACTGTCCTACAGTCTAGTATCACTAGACTATCACTACATTACTGTCCTACAGTCTAGACTATCACTACATTACTGTCCCTACAGTCTAGACTACAGTCTAGACTATCACTACATTACTGTCCTACAGTCTAGACTATCACTACATTACTGTCCTACAGTCTAGACTATCACTACATTACTGTCCTACAGTCTAGACTATCACTACATTACTGTCCTACAGTCTAGACTATCACTACATTACTGTCCTACAGTCTAGACTATCACTACATTAGACTATCACTACATTACTGTCCTACAGTCTAGACTATCACTACATTACTGTCCTACAGTCTAGACTATCACTACATTACTGTCCTACAGTCTAGACTATCACTACATTACTGTCCTACAGTCTAGACTATCACTACATTACTGTCCTACAGTCTAGACTATCACTACATTACTGTCACTACATTACTGTCCTACAGTCTAGACTATTACTACAGTCTAGACTATCACTACATTACTGTCCTACAGTCTAGACTATCACTACATTACTGTCCTACAGTCTAGACTATCACTACATTACTGTCCTACAGTCTAGACTATCACTACATTACTGTCCTACAGTCTAGACTATCACTACATTACTGTCCTACAGTCTAGAGGCTAAGTCAACCATTATGATTAATGTCGCTCGCTACCAAATGTTCTACGTCAGTTTTCTCAGCAATATGTCTCATCACCAAGTCAGGCGAGCGGCCCTGAAGGTAAGATTTCCAACAATACATGTGACATAGCATCATTTCATCACAGCCTACATTCTTCCTTCATTCCAGAAAACACAACTCAATGGAGATAATCCCAGAAATAGCCAATGACCTCCGGTCAAAGGCATAGATGTGTCAGTACACTTGACCTCTCGCAAAGGCCACTGATGACGAGAGGGATCATGACCTTTACCGGCAGAAAGAACACAAGGCGCTATATACAATGGTATGATGGCATGTTACTTGTGACGGATGGTATTTCTCGGGAGGTATTTCTCTGTCTCTTTAAACTTTCAAAGTAAAGCTTTCACCTTAACCGCCAAGTCATCATCTCAAGTGGTGAGTACAACCTCAGGTTGACTGAAGGTCTTGCAGCAAATAAACACATTTGATCAAGGAAAATATTGAAAATAATCAAGAAAAGTATACTATCTACTCTCGGAAAGAAAGATCCACAGACATCATTTGGTTGCACAACATATATAAAAAACAAAGCGTGTTTAGAAACGTTCCATACATCGTCTAAGGATTCGAACACCGACCTATGTAGCCATGAGTAAACTGACAAACGTGTCTTTCTGAGCACGCAATGAGAACAACGTGCATGCTGATGAGGTGAGACATGGATTCTTGGGTGTTGAAGGGACCATAAATGGGATTTTAGGCAACTTCCGTCAGTTCTATGAGTACCCGGGAATGTACCATGTCCAAGTATAGCATTACCGATTATAATCAAGTATTGGTCGCGATAGAAGCTGACCTGACGGTATGAGTCAGAGTGATCTGCAGGTTCACGACGGTCTACCGTCTACTGCTGTCTACGGTCTAAATGCTGATTAGTGATAAGGTTATCGTCAACTCAACACCTGTTGCCGACTTCTGTAGTTTTGGGTGTTCTGTCTTTAGGAATAGAGTATTTGTATTTCTTGTGTTCAGTGGCTGGGGGCTTATATCAGTTAACTTGATTGATTTAAACAGTAAAACATGACATTTATGAAGTTTATGTCGACCTGTTTCAACGTGCCAATAAAAACTGAAGAGTCGCAAGTGAGACCAATAACGAGCCATTCGTATCACCGTTACCATGGTTACTGCGCACATTTCCTTGTCCAACGTCCCTATCCATATATACATGACATGTCACATACCAAATATGGGCATAACCATTAAAACAGAGAGTACAGATATAGAAACACCCCTTGGCACAACCCCAGGCACGGCTCCACACACACTACATTGTTTAAAATGTTTTTGCCGTAGGAAGAGTTTGAGCATATCTCATGTCAGCTTAATTAGACCCCCTACAGTGATGAACCGTAATCCATTAATCCCAACCCTCAACATTTATGCCTGAGTTGCAGCACTGTTCAAAGCTTCCCCATGATCAATGTTTGGGAAGTGTCCGAGCCGCCATCGTGATACTGTGAGGTCCCGGATATGGTTTCACGGAAGGGAGTTTCCATGTCTTCCTCAAGACAATACATGGGCAGTGGGGACGCTGGGTGACACGAGCCGGACACGGACCAGTAACGGGAAGCCGCCATGTTGTTCAGGACTTGGAGTGAAACATGTCACGTGATACAGATATCAGTCAGGGTTACATATTCATTCAACCCATATTACACAAACTCTTTGTGTCACCAGCGTTCGATTCTGGTTTCAACTAAAATTCAGATTTGTTGTATGCATTAGAGCATAAAACATGCCTCCAAGTTTGATGTTCCATATCGATTTGTGATAAACTCTGTTGGTTCAATTTGGTAAAACCCACACACTTTCTCGCTTCTATCTATTCCATCTCATATTCTCTCCTTTAATGACCTACTGTCTTTAATTCATCTCTCTCTCTTTCTCTCTCTCTCTCTCTCTCTCTCTCTCTTAACTCTGACTCACTCTCTCTTTGAATTTTAACTCTCTCTCTCTCTCTCTCTCTTTAACTCTCTTTAACTCATTTTCTACACAATTAACCCACTCTTCATAATTATGTAACTGTGACTCAATAACTATATAACTTTTTAGCTCTAACGTATATCGGATGTCGTCCAATACGGTACCGCTGTGTATGTACGGTTGTACTCACTCCAGGGCCTCACGAGTACTTTATTATCCCAGAGGAAATTTTCATACATCCAAACTGTACACCACATTACCAGTGCATGTTCATTACTGTAACTAGAGCATATAAACTGTCTGACTTTGTTTTAGATTTGTGGCTGTGTGTAAAACAATTTTAATATGCTGAAAGTTGGTGTAACCACGATTAAGCTGTCGCCTGAACCTGCTAGTCTCCACAAACACGGAAGTAACTGCTATGTTTCAAGTTTTCTTGTTTCTTTCAATCAGGGACGAGGGGATCCGTCAGCCTGTACATCAAACATGTAAATGAGGTCGTATTCCGTCTTACGTCAAATCATGCATTACTTTGTCTAACTCAACAGTCTGCAGAGGACACCAGCAGGGAAATATGACGGTTTATTTTATCTCTCCACGGTTCAGACAGACGTCACTCTATTCCTGACTTTCATAAATCTACTTGACTCTACTGAGTGAGAGTCCCGTACATTTCATGTGAGGTTAATCAATTTTCAAAGATAAAATAGAAAATATCTATAAAATCATCTTTATGGAAGAACATTACATAGTTTTACTTAAGTGTGAGAGACAGTGAATGAGTGAGTGCCCTGACAGAAATGTGATATGTTTACTACAGTGGCAAGACCACTTTACCGGAACTACTTCGAGGCTCAACGTTTCTATGTCCAGTATGTCGTTACACAACACAATAAATGGCAGCGGTCATTATATGTATTAACAATTTTAAGCTTATTGACACTGTAAATAGTTTCTGGGTTATGCTCAATCGCTCTCTTCAGTTTGTCTCACCGCGCTATGTTTGCTGGTGGTCCTTCCTTATCTAGTCATGCGCCAGCACCGAGTTCTGACGTTTAAGCTGAGTTGGCAAAAAAGTCACAGTTGGCAGAATTTGGACTTCGTTAATCAGTTTTTCTCAGATCAATAATGTTTGAATTTGAATTAAACAAACTTGAAGCATAAATCAAATAGAATATTTCATGTGCATAGTGAAATATGATGCAGATACCTGATATTACACTAGACACACAAAAAATATCCTCTATTCAAAAAAGCGACTGTGTTCCATCTGTAAAAGCAATGTTTTGATAACAATGAAAACGTATAAAAGAGAACTTTATCGATTTGAAACACAATGACTAGACCCATGTTTGCAGACACCCATGGTATTTTTCACCTTCCAGTGGCGATCGTAAGGGTGGTTACTCTGGTCAGACCTGAATAACACTTCCTAAGTATGCTACATCTTACCGCAGTGTTTGTCATAGTGTTGAGATCTCGCAGTTTCACGCGGTTCTGGTAGTCATGGGGATTTTCAGACGGGTCAGAGTGACTCGTGATCTGAAATCATAAACAGAAATTTTAAACAATGTGCATGAAGGTCCGTGAATGTATACATGTAAGTTTGTTTGTGTATGTAGGTCCGTGCATACCGCTTGGCTCGTCATGACGAAGACCATGGGTGTAATATGTGAAGCTCATTTCGCTGTAATATTACCAAAGGCCGTGTAAAGGTACACGCATTCACTCTCACACAGACCCCCCAAGTAGGGATAACGTATGGGGTCGGATAAGTGGGTTGACGTTACTTTACCCCTCTAACATGTCATTGTAATTTGTTTCACGCACAACAGCTTGTACTGAACCGTCATGAACTGTAGTTATTTTACCCAGGTGTAGCCACACAATTGGTCAAGGCTGTAGTTATTTTACCCAGGTGTAGCCACAGATTGGTCAATGCTGTAGTTATTTTACCCAGGTGTAGCCACACATTGGTCAAGGCTATAGTTATTTTACCCAGGTGTAGCCACACATTGGTCAAGGCTGTAGTTATTTTACCCACTAGTGTTTGGTTTACTTACATTTGCCAGTGTTGATTCCACCAGATACACGTCATCGACGAAGGTGTCAAGACGTTCTGTTTTCTCGGTTGCTGTGATGTTGACTTCAGAATCACGGATGAGGAAGCCGGCGACAGTCCGCATGAAGTGCTTGTAGTCGACGATGAACTGCAGCAAACATAGGGAAATAAGGACTGCAGACAGCCATTTGATTGATTTAAACAGTTACACAGTTAAACAGTTATCTCGACCCGTTTCAACCTGCCAATAAAAACTGAAGTGTCGCAAGTGAGACCAATAACGAACCAAAGACCTGTGTCTTTGAATAAATGAAAACTAGTTTTTTATATATGAAATATACGGTAAACGATGTTTGGCTGTTCTCCAGGTGTACGTGTAACAGCTGTTTCATAAATCTTACACCCAAATTGGTGCGTGCACATAATGTATTTTTCATATGAATACATGTCTTATTCATGTTTGTCCGAGACATGTAAAAGACTTTCACTTTCACATGTAAATGTCATTCACTTCAGTCTTGGCTTGAACGCGAGCCAGTTAAATAACGCCAGTGTAAACAATGTCATACCATGACTCGGCGTTATCCTCAACCATGGGTGACACACATTCCGTCTGTCGGTCGTCTCATGCCATTCATCCGTCCCTGTCGTCTCCGACTGTAGACGGTGTATCTGTCCAACACTACACGTCACACTATCATTATGTCACACTAATACCACTACAGACCGTGGAGACTGTAGACGGTGTATCTGTTCAACACTACACGTCACACTGTCATTATGTCACACTAATACCACTACAGACCGTGGAGACTGTAGACGGTGTATCTGTCCAACACTACACGTCACACTGTCATTATGTCACACTAATACCACTACAGACCGTGGAGACTGTAGACGGTGTATCTGTCCAACACTACACGTCACACTATCATTATGTCACACTAATACCACTACAGACCGTGGAGACTGTAGACGGTGTATCTGTCCAACACTACACGTCACACTGTCATTATGTCACACTAATACCACTACAGACCGTGGAGACTGTAGACGGTGTATCTGTCCAACACTACACACACTCACACTCATTATGTCACACTTATACCACTACAGACCGTGGAGACTGTAGACGGTGTATCTGTCCAACACTACACGTCACACTACCTTTATGTCACACTAATACCACTACAGACCGTGGAGACTGTAGACGGTGTATCTGTCCAGCACTACTCGTCACACTATCATTATGTCACACTTATAACACTACAGACCGTGGAGACTGTAGACGGTGTATCTGTCCAACACTACACGTCACACTACCTTATGTCACACTAATACCACTACAGACCATGGAGACTGTAGACGGTGTATCTGTCCAGCACTACTCGTCACACTATCATTATGTCACACTTATAACACTACAGACCGTGGAGACTGTAGACGGTGTATCTGTCCAACACTACACGTCACACTACCTTTATGTCACACTTATAACACTACAGACAATGGAGACTGTAGACGGTGTATCTGTCCAACACTACACGTCACACTACCTTTATGTCACACTTATAACACAACAGACCATGGAGACTGTAGACGGTGTATCTGTCCAACACTACACGTCACACTACCTTTATGTCACACTTTATAGCACAACAGACCGTGGAGACTGTAGACGGTGTATCTGTCCAACACTACACGTCACACTACCTTTATGTCACACTTATAACACTACAGACAATGGAGACTGTAGACGGTGTATCTGTCCAACACTACACGTCACACTACCTTTATGTCACACTTATAACACTACAGACCGTGGAGACTGTAGACGGTGTATCTGTCCAACACTACACGTCAAACTACCTTTATGTCACACTTATAACACTACAGACAATGGAGACTGTAGACGGTGTATCTGTCCAACACTACACGTCACACTACCTTTATGTCACACTTATAACACTACAGACAATGGAGACTGTAGACGGTGTATCTGTCCAACACTACACGTCACACTACCTTTATGTCACACTTATAACACTACAGACCGTGGAGACTGTAGACGGTGTATCTGTCCAACACTACACGTCACACTACCTTTTATGTCACAATTTATAACACTACAGACAATGGAGACTGTAGACGGTGCATCTGTCCAACACTACACGTCACACTACCTTTATGTCACACTTATAACACTACAGACAATGGAGACTGTAGACGGTGTATCTGTCCAACACTACACGTCACACTACCTTTATGTCACACTAATACCACTACAGACCGTGGAGACTTGCGTGCAGTTCATTCGAATATAATCTGTAGATCGATCGAATAAAGCGGAGTTCAGAAACTAATCTCGGTGTGAGTGTGGAGGGTTAGGGGGTTGGGATTGTTCAGATCTTGTGGAACAACCAAGATCTCTGATTATTTGATAGACTATTGGTTGATACAGATCCATCACAATATTTCTTCATGTTCGTCACACTAACTGGTGAAGAATGATATTTTTAGGCATAATCATTGCCTATATATATACATGTGGATGTCGGGGCAATATTTTTCATAATTCCTGGGACCGTTTTTTTAAAAAAATAGAACAAATATGATGAGACTATTAAATCATATATCTTTGAAAAGCCTGTAAACAGAGCTTTTATTTGATATATAACATGACACAATTGAGTAGATTATAAAAACAAGGTTGCATTTCCATCTAAGATTTCGAAAGCGAAGATGACCCCTATGACCTTGAGGGTCGAATTTGACATTGTTGCACCACTGAGATTTTCCTAGACTTTTTATATGTTATAAAGGAATGGTTCAGGGTCTTAAAACAGTTGAAATCATTTCTGTTGCAATTTGTGGTGGGTATTCACATAAATTGACTGGACTAAACTGAATGTGACGTGAACTGTGAAGATATGGTGTACAGAACTCCACACGTCGTCTGAGCTGTGTACAGCCAACAACCTGTCAACTTCAGCCAGATGAGAAAACGTCACGACATTTTGTCAATAACCCTTTTCCTTGTTCATGGATGACTATCCTCATACAATTATAGTATATTGTCATCACAGTAGCATATCATCACAGTAGCATATCACCACAGTAGCATAGCATCACAGTAGCATAGCATCACAGTAACATATCATCACAGTAGCATAGCATCACAGTAGCATATCATCACAGTAGCATATCACCACAGTAGCATATCATCACAGTAGCATATCACCACAGTAGCATAGCATCACAGTAGCATATCACCACAGTAGCATATCATCACAGTAGCATATCACCACAGTAGCATAGCATCACAGTAACATATCATCACAGTAGTATATCATTACAGTAGTATCATCACAGTAGCATATCATCACAGCAGTAGCATATCAGCATAGCATCAGTAACATATCACCACAGTAGCATATCACCACACAGTAGCATATCACCACAGTAGCATATCACCACACAGTAACATATCATCACAGTAGCATATCACCACAGTAGCATAGCATCACAGTAGCATATCACCACAGTAGCATAGCATCACAGTAACATATCACCACAGTAGCATATCACCACAGTAGCATATCACCACAGTAGCATATCATCACAGTAGCATAGCATCACAGTAGCATAGCATCACAGTAACATAGCATCACAGTAGCATATCACCACAGTAGCATAGCATCACAGTAACATATCACCACAGTAGCATATCACCACAGTAGCATATCACCACAGTAGCATATCATCACAGTAGCATATCATCACAGTAGCATAGCATCACAGTAACATAGCATCACAGTAGCATATCACCACAGTAGCATATCACCACAGTAGCATAGCATCACAGTAGCATATCATCACAGTAGCATATCATCACAGTAGCATATCATCACAGTAGCATATCATCATGTCAGCACTGGCTTCAATGAATTACGTAACAGATCGTCCGTGTGATTCAGTACTGGTTGAAACACAGATGGAACTCGACCCAGCTGGAGATGTCAGTCAAGCCTTGTTTAATCCGCTCCCTCACTAACACAGATGTGTGAACCTGTGCTTCTGTAGACAACTACTTAAGACTGGGTAGGGGTTGGTGTACTGTCTACCCACAATAAACTTAAAGACCAGTACATAGAAATAGGCAACTATCTGGCTAGGGAATGGCCTCTGAAGCATTGTAATAGCATTGAACTTCAGGTAATTTTCAGGTTAGGAAGCGTCAAGCCGATTTCAGCAATAGCGACAATTGTATTCGATCGCGTGACTTTGTTGTCCTACAAATAATACCAGATGTGTTCTTTTATGATATTTTGTAATTGATAGACAATCGCCTCCAGGTCAAGCTATATACCAGCATATCACCTGAACGCGCACATCAATACGTCTGTCTGTCATTGTCTTTGCCTCAGTCTAACTGCAAGGAAATGGAAGCCTCACGCAACGGACACAGGCTGAGATGTCCTATCTACACGATATCTGTCGGCTCCTAATGCTCTTTCACAAAGTGCAGTATGCAATACATTGTGAACCAGATTGTTTCAAACTGTGAAAGGAATGTTCAAATTGCTAGTATTGAACTTCTAGAGAAGACAGGTATTCCAGTGGTGTTGAAATACTACAAAGTCAAGTCTACATATTCCATATAAGGTGGCTATTGTAGTCTGTCACTGTCAAACCTTGTATATTCATTTCTATCTCTGCCCGTCCCTCTTCACATATATCACACCGTCAACCCTTGTACATACAATTCTATCTCTGCTCGTCCCCCTACACATATATCACACCGTCAACCCTTGTACATACAATTCTATCTCTGCTCGTCCCCCTACACATATATCACACCGTCAAACCTTGTATATTCATTTCTATCTCTGCCCGTCCCTCTTCACATATATCACACCGTCAACCCTTGTACATACAATTCTATCTCTGCTCGTCCCCCTACACATATATCACACCGTCAACCCTTGTACATACAATTCTATCTCTGCTCGTTCCTCTTCACATATATCACACCGTCAACTCTTGTACATACAATTCTATCTCTGCTCGTACCTCTTCACATATATCACACCGTCAACCCTTGTACATACAATTCTATCTCTGCTCGTTCCTCTTCACATATATCACACCGTCAACCCTTGTACATACAATTCTATCTCTGCTCGTTCCTTCACATATATCACACCGTCAACCCTTGTACATACAATTCTATCTCTGCTCGTACCTCTTCACATATATCACACCGTCAACCCTTGTACATACAATTCTATCTCTGCTCGTACCCTCTTCACATATATCACACCGTCAACCCTTGTGTACATACAATTCTATCTCTGCTCGTCCCTCTTCACATATATCACACTGTCAACTCTTGTACATACAATTCTATCTCTGCTCGTCCCCTTCACATATATCACACCGTCAACCCTTTTTCGTAAATACAATTCTATATCTGCTCGTCCCTCTTCACATATATCACACCGTCAACCCCTTGTACATACAATTCTATCTCTGCTCGTCCCTCTTCACATATATCACACCGTCAACCCTTGTACATACAATTCTATCTCTGCTCGTCCCTTCTTCACATATATCACACCGTCAACCCCTGTACATACAATTCTATCTTCTCTGCTCGTACCTCTTCACATATATCACACCGTCAACCCCTGTACATACAATTCTATCTCTGCTCGTTCCTCTTCACATATATCACACCGTCAACCCTTGTACATACAATTCTATCTCTGCTCGTACCTCTTCACATATATCACACCGTCAACCCTTGTACATACAATTCTATCTCTGCTCGTTCCTCTTCACATATATCACACCGTCAACCCTTGTACATACAATTCTATCTCTGCTCGTCCCTCTTCACATATATCACACCTCTGTCAACTCTTGTACATACAATTCTATCTCTGCTCGTCCCCCTTCACATATATCACACCGTCAACCCTTGTACATACAATTCTATATCTGCTCGTCCCTCTTCACATATATCACACCGTCAACCCTTGTACATACAATTCTATCTCTGCTCGTCCCTCTTCACATATATCACACCGTCAACTCTTGTACATACAATTCTATCTCTGCTCGTACCTCTTCACATATATCACACCGTCAACCCTTGTACATACAATTCTATCTCTGCTCGTTCCTCTTCACATATATCACACCGTCAACCCTTGTACATACAATTCTATCTCTGCTCGTTCCTCTTCACATATATCACACTGTCAACCCTTGTACATACACTTATCTCTGCTCGTTCCTCTTCACATATATCACACCGTCAACCCTTGTACATACAATTCTATCTCTGCTCGTCCCCCTACACATATATCACACCGTCAACCCTTTGTACATACAATTCTATCTCTGCTCGTCCCTTCACATATATCACACCGTCAACCCCTGTACATACAATTCTATCTCTGCTCGTCCCCCTACACATATATCACACCGTCAACCCCTGTACATACAATTCTATCTCTGCTCGTTCTTCACATATATCACACCGTCAACCCTTGTACATACAATTCTATCTCTGCTCGTCCCTCTTCACATATATCACACCGTCAACCCTTGTACATACAATTCTATCTCTGCTCGTCCCTCTTCACATATATCACACCGTCAACCCTTGTACATACAATTCTATCTCTGCTCGTCCCTCTTCACATATATCACACCGTCAACCCTTGTACATACAACTCTATCTCTGCTCGTCCCTCTTCACATATATCAGGCGGTGGGGTAGCCTAGTGGTTAAAGCGTTGGCTCGTCACGACGAAGGCCCGGGTTCAATTCCCCACATGGGCACAATGTGTTAAGCCCATTTCTGGTGTCCCCCGCCGTGATATTGCTGGAATATTGCTAAAAGCGGCGTAAAACTAAACTAAGTCAGTCAGTCACATATATCACACCGTCAACTCTTGTACATACAATTCTATCTCTGCTCGTCCCTCTTCACATATATCACACCGTCAACTCTTGTACATACAATTCTATCTCTGCTCGTCCCCTTACACATATATCACACCGTCAACCCTTGTACATACAATTCTATCTCTGCTCGTCCCCCTACACATATAGCACACCGTCAACCCTTGTACATACAATTCTATCTTTGACCAATTGACAACATTCCTGTTGTTGGAAATCCGTACACTGCCGACACTGTTGGGTACAGCCACCCTTAAAATTCCTTCAACCCTCGCGCCCCCCTCCCGCCCCTACGCCTTCACTGTTTCCCCCGTCACAGATGAATAACCAGGGAGTTCCTCCAGCTTCCACAACACGTGGAAGGTCGTGCCCTGACTGCTTGACTGAGTCCTGTGTCTACAGACCGTCCCGATATAAACACGGTGTATATGTCTGTATATAACAGACTGGGCTTGGGAGTTGGTGGGGGACAGTACGTAAACACTCTTTGACGTTAAATGATCAGTTCACCCACAACAGCAGTTATTGGGATCCAGTTGCAGCATGTTACTTAATATTTTACCTTTAACTGTGTATTTAATCATTTAAATTCCTTATATTTATATTTTTATATTGTGCCTATGTTTATAATAACATGTAACATGTTATCTCTTTTACATAGCCATAAAATACATGTACACTCATTTTGTAAAATATGGTCTCTCATAACCCTTTTGGGTGGCATTTGTACTTTTACCTTTTTAATATTCAAAATGCCGTATTTTAACTCTTGCTGTACAAATGCTGAGACTTTAATAAACTATATTGTATTGTATTGTATTGTATTGTATTGTATTGTATTGTATTGTATTGTATTGTATATTTATTTACTTACCGGTGCACCTTCGGGGCGGACATAGTAGATCCAGGAAAGCCCAGTCCCTGACAGGTCAATCTGAAATATACAGCATATGTTTACATTAACTTTATTGACAACATGATGATAATTATATGGACATACAATTTCTTTATTCTGTGAAAGACGACGTTTCGACATAGATTTTAATGTCGTTGTCAAGCAAGTGATGAGCAAGCAAGTGATAATTCCTTGACATTCCTTGAACGACATTAGAATCAAGGACATGTCGAAACGTCGCCTTTCGTCGCCTTTCACAGAATAAATAAGTTGTTTATCTATAAAATTATCATCATTGTTAGTACTGGGTTGTTTCGAATATCAATGTGATACGGAATAATCACAATAACTATGTCAATACTTATATTCGTGTCAAGCGTACTACCAGGGTGTTGTTGTGTTGAGATGATGTGTACTTTTAATGATAGTCAGTCCACTCGGGAGAACAATAAGTGATGGTGTTTGTCATCCCTATATCTGGCAGGCTCTGCGTATTGTCGATGTACTCTACTGTGGGTTGTTCAGTCAGTGAGTCAGACAACCTATAACTGCTGACCCTCGATGAGCACCCATCCGTGTCCGTACACCCTGGGACGAACAAAACACGCCTTGTCACTGGCTGATACGAAATATGTTTTGACCCCACGAACTGCGATTCAGGCCATTAGTGGACACGGTGCCCCGGGCATCATGAATGTACCACAGTGAGATCAGATCCACATTTCAAAAGATATTTCTATTGACGTCACGTACGGCTGATGTTACGAACACTGTACCAGGAATGGTTGTCATAAGTAATATGTAACAGTTTTGGGGGTGGGGTGTATTTACCATTTTTTTACTTGTTTATAGGTACAGTACATGTGGTCAACGTATTACATTGATAGGTACAATTGTGCTGATATACAAGATTACAAAAGCAATCAATGATATTTCTATAAAAAAGTATGTATGTATGTATGTATGTATGTATGTATGTATGTATGTATGTATGTATGTATGTATGTATGTATGTATGTATGTATGTATGTATGTATGTATGTATGTATGTATGTATGTGTATATATGTACATATGTGTGTGTATGTACATACGTACGTACGTATATGTAAGTACGTATGTGTATGTATGTATGTACGGGTACGTATATGTGTGTATGTATGTAGATACGTATGAATGTACAGGTGGATATGCATTCAATTTGTGTCTATATGAAATAAGGATGACAGACAAAATCATTCAGCCCTCTCCTTATAGTGTTGGAAAAGTGTATGTAGAGATGACCAAAAGGAGAAAAATTTGTCATCACCACAAGAGGAAGAATAAACATATCTTGTAATGTAATAATACCTAATTATCTCCCTTTTCACATGACTGATAAAGGGTACAGTTGAATTTCTGCTGTGTCTAAAGATAACTTGCTTTACAACAAGTATTATGGCATTAATTGGAATATTATTTTTTCCTCTAATTCCAAGAAAGACATTCTGTTTTGTGAAATATAACGGAATATTCAAGTCAGTTAAGAGCCATGACTGGAGGTTTTTCCAGATATCTTGCACAATTTCACAGTCCCAAAATAGATGGGTAGTTGATTCAATGTTATATTTACAGAAACTGCAAATTGGAGAGTCTATATACTTGATCTTAAACAAAAGCTGTTTTGTAGGTAGAATATTATGGATAATTCTGTATTGTAACCATCTTAGATCAATACTATAGGTGCACTTCCATGGGATAATATTAAATATTTCCCAGTCCTTTGGTAGGAGATTTAGATTCAAGCTCTCCCTGTTTTTATTATAGTGTTCTATTTTTAATTTAGAGCATAGGAGTTTTTCATAGAAATATTTGCTACCTTTTTCACTGAACTTTAGTTGAGACAAATTAAAAGGGTATGTCGGTTTAATTTTCAAAGTTGTAGAATGTGAAATATTTATCTTTAACATGTATGTAATAATTGCTTGTTTGACCCCTTCAAAGGTCAGGAAATTTGTTCTGAGTTTATATAGATCTATAAAGTCATCAAAGGATAGAAATTTCCCTTCTGCTGTCAACATGTCAGATACAAACATAACTCCCTTGTTGTACCAATATTTATACAAAATAGGTTTGTTATCAACCAATATGTCATCATTACACCAGATAGACTGTGACTGGATTTCAAATTCACTTGTAATAGTATCTTTTTGCTTAGATGTGAACCAAGCCCAAGCAAGTAACACATCCTTCCAAAACTGATTAGTTAAGGTTGGAGTAACAACAGTTTTAATATAATTGCTGTCTGCAGACCATAGGTAAATTTCACATGTTATCTTTCTAAGAAAAAGATAGTCCCACTTATTTGGTTTTTGTAATAGTTTTCTTACCCATCCAAGCTTTTGGGACGCAATTTTCTCTTTGATTTTTGGTACCTTTAATCCACCATGTTTGGGGAGAGATGTAATAATGTCCCTTTTAACTTTGTCTGGTTTTCCTTTCGAAATAAATCTAAAACATAGCTTTTGAAGCTTATTTAAGACATGGTCTGGAGGGTTTGGGAGGGAAGGAAATAAGTGATTTAATTTGGAAGCAGGAGTGATTTCAAAACTGTGTTTCTTCCAAAGGAAATGTGTGTTTTTTCAATATTAATTTTTTGCCCAGAGAATCTTGCAATGAATTGTAATGTATTTAAAGCAGCATAAAGACATCTTTCAGAACCATCCAGTGTCATCGTCGTATCATCAGCAAATTGTGACATAATGTATTCAATATTATCAATTTTTATTCCTCTTATATACCTATTATTTTTTATCATTAAGGCCAAAATTTCTACACAAACCAAAAATATATAAGGCGATAGAGGATCCCCTATCGGAGGGTGATGCAAAGCCATTAACCAATACACTGGATTCAATCTCATGATAGAAAAGGTTTACCCATTGAATCAAATCTGGTCCAAAGTGATAGAAATTGAGAACATTGAGAATATATTTGAAGTCAATCGAGTCAAAAGCTTTCTCAAAAGGTCAATCAATAGGAGTAGTCCAGGGATTTGATATGTTCCGGAATGTTCCATCAGCTCATAAATTAGTCTAGTTACTTCTCCTATGTATCTTCCAATGATAAAGCCCTTTTGGTCTTCACTGATAATACCTCGGAAGAATAGGCTTAATTCTGTTGGCAATGGCTGCAGCAGCAATTTTATATGAAATATTTAGAATCGAAATGGGTCGCCAGTTCTTTAAAAACCTTTTGGGCTTATTTCCTTTACGAATACATGTTATAAGTCCCTGTTTCTGGGAGACAGATAAATTTCCAGTTTGAAAAGCAAAATTCAGAGATTTAATCAAGAATTCGCCAAGATCATTCCCCAAAAAATTTAAAATTCGGTTGTAAAACCGTCAGGACCTGGGCTTTTATCATTTTTCATATTTTTTAAGGCTGTCAAGACTTCACCTCTTGTTAATTCACCTTCCATACTGGTTGTTTGTTCATCACTTAGTTTTGGTATGGTAATATCTTTTAAAAGTTCATCTAGATCTATAGGACTTACATCTTGTTGTGTATATAGTTTTTCATAAAAAGATTTCACCTCTTTTGATAGAGTGTCAAGGTCATTTAGGACTGTTCCATCACCTTTTTCTAATTCTACAAAGGATTTATTTTAAAAAATTCTGGCTTCAAGCTTCAAAAAGTATTTTGTTGGTTTTCGCCCTGTTCTATCCATTTAGCCTTTGATCTGACTAGCATCCCTTGTATTTTCATTTCATTAATGTCATCTAAATTAGTCCTGATTTCGTTAATTTCTTTTAGTATATCACTTTTTGTTATGTCTGTATCTGATTTATCTAGTCTGATTTCCTGGGAGGCTAATTCTGATTCCAACTTGTTTTCTGTATGCAACATAATTTTCTTTTGAGTTGAGGCATAATAAATTGTCTTCCCTCTAATCATTAATAGTAGTGTTTCCCATAGTAATTGATCATCAATAGAATATGTACCAGTTGGTCTGGTGACTTACAGCCATTGTATCAGCTTGAATTGTTTTACAGGCGGGTACGGTTGATGTATATGTTCTGTACAGTCTACATTTACTTGCACAATGTATATGTTCATATAGATATATGATTGTATGCATAGTCAGGTTGTTGTCACGTTGTATTGACAGTTCTTGGATGCGTCACCTCGGTTATAACATGTCACTAACGTGATGATAAGATTGAAACTGATTCTGAACAGCAGGAGTGTAATAAATCCGCTCTTTCTAACATGTTTTTGTTTTATAGAAAATGAGCATCTAAACACACACGAAGAACTACAACCCTCAGTAAGCGCATGTCTTTTAACTACAACCCTCTGTAAGCACATGTCCTTTCACTACAACCTCCTGTAAGCACATATCCTTTCACTACAACCCCTGTAAGCACATGTCCTTTCACTACAACCCTCCTGTAAGCACATGTCCTTTCACTACAACCCTCTGTAAGCACATGTCCTTTCACTACAACCCTCAGTAAGCGCAAGTCCTTTCACTACAACCCCCAGTAAGCACATGTCCTTTCACTACAACCCCAGTAAGCACATGTCCTTTCACTACAACCCCAGTAAGCCCCAGTAAGCATGTCCTTTCACTACAACCCCCAGTAAGCGCATGTCCTTTCACTACAACCCCAGTAAGCGCATGTCCTTTCACTACAACCCTCTGTAAGCACATGTCCTTTCACAACAACCCCTCAGCAAGCGCATGTCCTTGAACTACAACCCCTCAGTAAGCGCATGTCCTTTCACAACAACCCTCTGTAAGCACATGTCCTTTTACTACAACCCTCAGTAAGCGCATGTCCTTTCACTACACCCCTCAGTAAGTACATGTCCTTTCACTACAACCTTCAGTAAGCGCATGTCCTTTCACTACAACCCCAAGTAAGCGCATGTCCTTTCACTACAACCCCTTAGTAAGCGCAGCGCATGTCACTTTCACTACAAGCCATGCCCTTTCACTAAGCCTCTGTGCACATGTCCTTTCACTACAACCCCAGTAAGCACATGTCCTTTCAC